GTGTTTCCTTACACTCGACTACACAAACACACATATCGAAAGGCAGCGTGTATCAGACACCACGCAAAAAAAAAGAAAGAAAAGAAACGCTCGTATTTGAGTAGCGCGTGCGTGCGTAAGAAACGTAACAACAAAAACAAAAAAAGGCAAGCAAGGGGGGAAGTCTCCCCTGGGTATAGTCTCGACGCGAATAATGTGCGCCGCCGCCTCGCCATTTCCATTATCCGGCGCTATCTTGGAGAGGAGCACTTTTCTCACCGGTCCCAAGGCGGCGCCAGCGGAGGCTCATTTTTCTCGGAGCAAAGGCTTTGCTGCCGGCCGCGCGTGAAGAACGGCAGAGCCCTCTGCCGGGTCCTTTATCAATTTCCAGACGCGCGCTGGGGTGCGCTGCTGGCGCGCGCGTTCGACCCGACGGCGTACTCCCGTAATTACAATCCCGGCAGCGGCTTGTAAGTTTACTTACGCAATTGCAGGTACCGCTCCACGTTTCTCCGGCAGAGTGTTTGCCTACGCGAGTCAAACGACGCTAAAGGAAGAGCATCCAGGCAGAGGGCGCTGCCGTGTGGGCGGAAACCATCTTTCGCGGTGAGCCAAAGCCGCACGCGAACTACTGGTGTGTTTTATAGTGGCCCGCCAGTGGGGAGCTGCGTCTTAAAGAGGTGCCTCGCTTTGCTTTTTGCGCGTTTCTATAACGGTGAACGATCCGACTAGTTGTGCAGAACAGGTACGTTTCCGGAACACAAAACATACTAACATCGCTTCACCGTTCAGGGGGCTTTCCACAATATTAATCGAAGAGTGCTCGTATGACGTCTCACAAAGAAATACAGTCAGTCACATCGAGCAAGAAGTTCGATGCAAGGCTGTTGATGTTAGTTCTAAGCTTCGCTAGGCTAGCTGACACCAGAAACTTATGAAACAAGGTTTACAGTCTCAACAAAACGACCCCTAATTACATCCTATCAAGATAGCAGTGATACGAAAAAAAAAAGAGTAACAAAATCTTTTCCCGAGGAAACGCAAAGCTTCGGCGATGCGGCTTAGATTTTAGCGTTATTTTCTCAATATTAATATCTCGGGTTTTGCGTAACAAAACGCGATATGAGTATCCGGAAAGAATTTCGACCATCTAGTGTTCTTTAACATGCAATGGCACCGCACTGTACAAGAACCTCTAGCACTTCGGCTCCATCGAAAACCAGTTATTTTCCAAGTTCGATAAAAAGATAATGACCAAAAACTGCATTGCAAGACGCCTTGATATAGCTCAACAAGAGTTTGCGTTAAAGTGAATCTCGAGACACTGTAAGAAAATTTCAATGATAATGTTTTTGAGACATTAAGACCTTTTATACTATGACAGGTGATGAACGATGCAATCGAAATTTCAAACCCAACAGCAGCCTCAAATATCAAACATTGCAAACAAAACGCTAATCGGATGGAGGCGAGTTGAAAAAAATAATAAACATCACGCAACAAGCAAACATTTACTGTGGTATGCGTGAATGTTCATAAAAGAAGTGAAAAGTGGAAAAATCCCGGATATCTATTGATTATTAAACGTCTACTGGTGGCAGAAAGACGAGGCAAGATCTCTTAAACTCTTGCAAAAAATCCATATATGTGTGCTTATTTAATACGGAATTTACCAATGCAACACCAAACAGAAGAGGCAAGTCCTGAACAACAAGCCTAAACCAGGGGTGCAACAAGGCTAAACCAGGGGTGCCACAGCCGAAACGGGATTTGCAGCATTTTTGTGAGCACTAAAATCTAACTGTGGAGCAGGTTATGAAAAAAAAATCTATTTTTTATCACAACAGATCAATTTGGAGCAATATTAAAAAAGGCTTACATTTATAAAAGGTAAAAATATGTACAAGCTTTTCAACATCAGCTAAATTGTGCAAAGTGAACATGAGCATTGCTATTTGCACAAAACTAGCATTTTGAAGCACCCCACTGTGTAAGCAATGATGAAGTCCACATTAGCATTTACCACACCTGTCAACTCCTCAGGCAGACTCTGCAAATTCAAATGCGGTTCTGCCAAGCTAGCGACCCGGAAATTTAAGAGATATAGGAGTGAGGAAAAAGATAAAAAAAAACTGACATTTTGGGGTGCTGCAGAAAAGTCATACACTGCTCAAAATGATTGCCAGTAAGCCGATAACTATTTTAGACGTCAGCGATCATACCAAAACTCTAGACGCAAGAGTAATCGAAAAACATGCGATGTGTCTCGTGACTAAGGCTAACAGCCCTTTAACTTTTCTGCAGTGCGCTAATATACGGCGGCAAAGGTGACTTAAATAATACTCTTCATGGTTCGAAGCAAGGCCAAACAATTTTGGAACCACCACACCACTTCCCTTCCTCTCTACCTTTTTTTCCTTTCAAGATGGAGTTAGGTTTAGGGCACCACTTCTCGAATTACATTGCAAGGTGCGTTCAACCAGATGAAGTAAGAAAGGCTCGCGCCCGTTGGCCCGGTAACGAAACCGGTTATCCATGGCGGGGATGACGGAACTTCCAGACAGAAAAATATTTTATGTGCCGTTTCTATGGCAACCAACGTGCTAACGCGCAACGCCGGCCTGCGCAGTACGTGGAGTTTTCGCGCGCGGAAAACGTGGCACACGCTTTAAGCTTAATTCCTAGAAATCCGTAGCCGCGTTTGCTGACAAGCTGCGTTTTCGGCGAAGCGTTGTTGGCTACTGCAACGCATTTGGGCCTTTGGGATGCATCGTATCGTCGACCGGTATCCTCTGCGGCCATCGGACCGATGGGCATGCGGCATTGTTACTTTATTAGATCAATTGCGTCTCGAGAGTGTGATGGTCTAATGAATATACATTACCACGCCGCGATTTAGGATTAAGACAACTAGGAGGCATTGGTTAGGGTCAGCGCGCTTGGACTGATTGATGGCGCGCTCAGCGGGTGGCCAACGTGGCCTCCATTTATCGCTCAAGTTAGCGCAACTAGGTAAAAAAAAATTGAGACAGGACGGACATTTTCGCGCAGCGTGGCGCACTTTCAGCGAATTTCAAGGTTTTGGCGCAGCTCCGCGCAAAAATTTAGAATAGTCTCAAATTGGCGCAATGGGGCGTCACTGTTGCTAAACTCGTACATTTTGTCACTTAATTATTCTGAGACCAGTTCGATTCAAAGGCGCAACAATGTGCAAAGCTCTCGCCTTGCATAGACATGATCATGGTAACATCATTGTGTTCCCAAGCCATATTCGTTCGTTCGCAAGTTCGGTACAGGTGTCGCTTCCCCAACTAAAGCTCTACCTGACGAAACTGTAAAATAGCGACGGGAGCTTCGAAAACACGCCTAACAAGTGTTAAACAATCTGCCGTAGGAAAACGACGCTCTCGGCGGCGCGCTAATGCATTTTAAGTTCGCGCCTGCCGGAGGCAGCGGCGCATCTATATAGTGGAAAGAAGAGAACACGAAAAGGAAAACACGCCGAAACGAACTAAGCTCGCTTCATTGGTGCAGGTATAAAGCTTACACTCACTCACTGAAATGTGCTAAAACGAAAACGCACCCAAGACTGCGTGGGAAGTGCTCTGGTGTGTAGGAGCACCGTGTCGTACAGATTGTCACGCCATGAATGTTTAAACTCGTCCCGAAAGCCGTCGAGAGCAGCGCGCGCACTGCTGCCATCACGTCGCAAAACTCAATTGGCGACAGGCTTCGGAGATGCACCGGAGACCTGCTGGGCGACTGGCACACGCACGCAACCCACTCGCTGTACCTTTCGCACGGCTCTGTGCCGGCGAGAACACATTACATATGCACGCGTAAAGCCGTACTGCGGCCAGTCTCCATTAGCGCGAAAAACTCAATTTAACTGGGGAGATACGGACTAACGAAAAAAAAAAGAAAAGAAAATTGAATTCCGGCAAGCTTACCGGACACACGCGAGGAATAAAGGTTCGGCCTGCACGATGGACAAGAACGAGACAAAGGGGAACAATAAGTTACGTACACGTAGAAATTCCACGCCACATTGGCGAACGCGGAGCTCGTCCGCTTCGAGAAAAAGCATGGTTGACTTGATGAACAGGTCGATGTGTCTCGGGGTGTAAGTGGATGGACGAATGGCGGCGAAATTGCTTTGAGGCCCACTTCGCGAGTGCTTTGTAGTAACAGAAGCGTCGAATAAAAACAAAGGCAGACTCGAGTTTCATTAGACGTTGGATAGAAAAGAAGACACGAGAAGACTCAAAAGCTTCTAACACGCGCGTTATGTCTGTAGGAAATTTTAGGAGGTAACAACGTTAAGAGGAAACAGAAGCAGGGTAAATTTCTTTCTTGAACGGGACGAGATCCTTTGCATAAAAGAGTGTACTCGCGGACGTACCACCGTTAGAGCTAGAAGGGCGGGGGGCAGAGGGTTGAGCGAATACCGTCTCTATACGCGGAAGATAGTGCATGGCTTCAACCAAGAATGAAATTTCGATTAAGAGGATGTGGCGGCACATCCATGGCACGGCCACATCGGCTGGCATTGAAAGCGAGGTAGAGTACTGGATGAGGAAACGTAGCCGTCACGTCAATAAGAGCCAAACAATTACTCGTTTGGTAATTTCACGGTGTTTTGCACGGAGGAAACGTGTCGTGCTGGATGCGAAGATCAACAGGACCAAACGGTACCATTAGTATAAGGTAGACTAGTCATACAATGTCCGGTGAGGTATCGTCCAGTCAGCTATGTTGTGCTCGCCCCTTTTCGCAGACATGATAGTGTTGCCGTTCGACAGGTAACGTGCGATACTGTTGTTTATTATGCTACTCAATGTAGTTCTTGAAGAAAGCTGGACTTAGCCACTCATGGTCTTTCTAAGCATCCTCCCGTGTGACTACAGTGTTAACTTTTCTGTTCATTTGTTTTTCGTTAATTCTTGTTAAGAAAAGTGGATAATCGTCATGCTGTCTCGCTCCCTCCTTTTACTTACTTCTACGACGCGGAGAGTTCTTACCTGGGATCCGCGGGGTCGCAGTCCTGGACGGCGACCGAACCTGGCTGCTGCTGCGAGACGTGGTCAAGGTCGTCCGGCGGCGGCGGCAGGGGTTCGTCATCGTCCTCCGCCGGCGGTGAGCACAGGTCTCGCACCGCCGGAGGCAGTGGGGGAGGAGAAGGCAGCGGTAACTCCGGGCTCGAGCACAGGCTCGTCCAAGACACCGGCCGACCAGTAGCCGCCGCCGTCGACGAGCTCACACCGCCCTCAGTGGAGCCCACTCCGTCCCTTCCGGGAACAGGGTCGGGGGGCTGCAGGGACTCTGGACACGGCGTTTCCTGTGAGAATTTAGGACCTTGTTAAAAAATGCGCTGAAATACGGGGTTCGGCGGAAACCAGCTCGGTCGAGACTCACGTGCGGTAGACAATTTATCAGCCACAAAGCTCTATAGTATATGGCGTACCCGATAACATTTCCTTTCTGTGCAGCCACGTGAGCTGATTCATGGTTGCTACGAGCTACAGACATATCGGTTTGCCTAAATGACGTCGAAAACTGTGGTCTCCCGCTTGTCAGAAGTGTACGATCAGTATGCGGGGGCCTTTCGAGTAAGGGGCTTCTTGTGGGGCTGTAACGTCATTTTATTGGTAGGACGCGGTGACACCGTAAGCATGTGGCCTAATCCGTTTATCTACTGGTTACAGATGATTGACGTCCTGTTGTTGATACTGTCAGGATACGAAGCGCCTAATCTGTTAGATGCACGCAGCCCAGTCAACCGGATTTTCTGCAACGAGTGCCAAGTTTACTCGGCTAGGGCTAAACCCACTCGACAACCAGGCTGGGACGGCATCAGCGACCACCAGCGCGGCCCACTGGGACCTGAAGATGGCGCTGGGGCCTGACAAGGAACGCACAAACTGCGGTACGACAGCGCACAGGAGCCTATAACCTGTTTATTTACTGGTTACAGGCAGGGTAGACGCTACGGCAAATCTATTCATTCGAACAATATCTGCTTAATTGTGTTGTCGTGCCCTCGGCTTGTTTGTCCAGTGTTTTAAGAACTACGTGTATTATTGGTAAAACTGCTACTACTAGCTGGTGATAATGAAACAAACCCTGGTCTCCAATTTTTCTACTTCCAAGCAGCTCCAGCAAATAGCCGATGATTTGAAAGAAATCAAGAATATCGGCTCAAATAAATATATTTAAATTAAAAGAACTAACTGTTCTGGATGGCAAGATCTCGCATGCGTAGACAATCATGTTAACAATCTTGGAGTTGTAACATCTCTCGAATTGAAAATGAACGATCTCGAAATTCGTTCCAGAAGATCAAACTTAATTCTGCATGACATTCCAGAAAACACCGAAAACATCAGCGACGTGCTCGAAGAAACGGTTTGCAAAAATGTTTTAAAGGAATGCCTGAAGATCGATTCCGTAACGATTGAGACGATTCATCGCATAGGAAAACATAGATCCAAGAGGTCCAGGTCTATTATCTTCAAACTTGCTGACTGCAGAGAGAACGAAATGAAATTCTTGAAATATTGCCAGAAACTTAAGGGTATACGTCTACTCTATTAGCGAAGATTTTTCTGTCCGAGTGTGTGAGGTAAGGAAAAAAATACATGGCATGCAGCTAAAACTAGAAAGGATAAGGTAGTTTTAAATTTTGCCAAATTTTGTATCAATCAAGAATTGTACATCTGGAACGAGGAAAAGAACACCATTAATCAAATCAGATCCACCTCTCAAACAACAAATGAAAAAAAAAAAAACGGCAAAGCCGAGTCACGGGCATTTCACCTCCGACTTCGCACAATGCAACATCAGCAGAAATAATATTCGCGAACGTAAATGTACGTAGCCTACTACCTAAACTTACTTCACTAGAATATTTTCTTCTCGTTACAAATCCAGATTTTTGAGCTATGACGGAAACATGGCTAAACAAAAATGTGAAAGATTTCGAAAGACATGTACCACAATACTTCGTCATACGCAAAGATAGGCCAACACGCGGCGGTAGGGTAGCTATTCTGATAAAGCGCAAAATTACTTTCACACTTCTTCCTGATGTCGAAGGTGCTGAGGCGACCTTTTGTCGATTACATTATCATGTTCACCCGATCATCGTGTGTTGCGTCTATCCTATCCCTTCGTAAAATATTGATATTCTAACGTCTTTGCACATGTACATGCTTCACCACATAAAAGGGGCTACATTGATAATGCTCGAAGACGAAAACCTACCTGATATCGATTGGCCTACTATGAACTATCGCTCAAGATTGTCGAACGTGATTTTCGACATAATTTCACCCTTTAACCTGACCCAAAAATAGACCAACCTACTTGTGTATAAAAAAAACCGCAGTCTAATACACATTTTAGGGGCGAAGCTCCTTAAGGCGTAGGTCTGTCCATTCCTTGTATATATGTAGTAGTACGTAGACACTGGTGGCACAAACCCGCTCTAGAGTGGGCATGTGCCACAGGAGATGGGAGATGGCGTTACTTGGAGTGTTCACTAGATGGGTGCATGGACGGACGGACAGACAGACTAGCAGACGGACGCACGGATGGACACACGAACAGACAGACAGGCAGATGGGTGGGCGGACTCACGGACGGACGCACGGACAGATGGACGGACGCATGAAAGGTCGCGCGGACAGACGGAAGCAAGAACGAACGGACGAACGAACTGACGGACGCTTCGCCCCATTCATTATCATTCACTCCGTGAATATGCTGTGATTTTTTTTCTACGTTTCGTATCTTGGTTTTCAATTGTGTGCCTTCGACAGTGTAGTGCTTGCCTGCTTTTCATAGTGTCACTTTCTTTATTCTTTATGTTATGTAATGTATTTACTTGCCCTCCCTGCTATATTTCCTTTTCAGATTGACAGTTTAAATAAATAAATAAATAAATAAATAAATAAATAAATAAATAAATAAATAAATAAACGATTGGTCAGCCCTCGTTACTTCCCGCTGCGCCGAGCTGGGCACGGCAAATAACGAGTTGCGCCAACTGCCTATGATGTTAGTGACAGGATGACTAGAGTAATCGTGCCCTTCTGAGAAACGAGATACCCAGGTTGTAGACTTTGTTTCAACGAACTAATGTTCGCAGCAATCCTGAAGCAGCTCAGGAGACAGAAATGAATAAAAACGCCGCCAGATACACCATATATCGCGCTTAGATTTTGTCTATTCAGAAGCGCCTGCACGTGAGGCGCGAGACAACAAAGTTTGAATGCGAAGCACATTTCTCTTTCATTCCAAACACTTTCGATCGTTATTCTCGCTGCTCTTTCGGGAATCTTCAATCGAATAAAGTGCGAAACCAACGTTACAAATAAACAGTCGGCTTAAGGCACAGATTAGGCTGTTTTAAGCATCACGGTACGCTCTCAAGCAATTCCTGTAGGGCGAAAACCTAATAGACATATGAAATGTATCGCATGTACATACGTCACCCGTCTTTTCTTTTTTGTTATTTCTTCGTAACAGCTGCAACTAATGAATTGTCCTTAAAAGCTGCATCTGAGTTATCCCTCTTTAATCAACTGCTCACGTGCTCACATGTCTGTGGTAACTCTTTCACGCCACTGCGCATGGGTGGAAGTTTACCTGTTTTTCAGCTACCACCGGAAATGAACGGTTGGTAATTTGGCACCAGTCAGTCTCTTTCTTTCCCTTTTTTGATCTTCCTGTAGAGCTAGTAACGAAATGTTCAGCAAACTAATGCACCAACGCACCCAAAGGCAAGTTCTTCTATGGAGTTAACGGTGTGTTGACTACGCAAGCAATTAGTAGCTCTAAATGTGGCATGCTATCGAAGGAAAAAAAAGTTTTAATTATCTACACGACAGGTACGTCATGGAAACCTTTCTTTCTTGCAACATCTCTCTCTCTCTCTCTCTCCATTTGCTGCGTTCATTCAGTAGTGATACATAAAAAAAGACAGTTATTTGAGTTTTTTTGCAACTCAAACTGTGACTGTGCAAATTTTCTGCAACTGCGTCGCAATTCACCAAGCGCACCCACAAATCTAAGTTTTATTCGGAATACGCCACGCAGACTCTTTTACTATGCAAGCTGGCTTCTTTGCATAACGGATTGTGTTGAGGAGAAGCAATCTTCACAGGCAGACTAACTCACTGCTATTCATGGTTGGCTGATATGTTAATGACACACATTGGCTAACGTTCCCGTGAAGATACCCGCGAAGACGCGCAGTAGGCTGCTTTGCGGACACTTCCCTTCTCTCTCGCAAGTAAATGAAAGTGAATGACCACGTTCGCCGGCGAAGTAAAGAAGGATGCAGAAAATGAAGTGAGCGGCAAAAAAAAGAAAGAATGCAAAAAAAAACGATGTTTGCCGTATTGATCATTTACTCTTGCACCATACTAAAATCACCATGCTTGCCGCAGCAAGACGCATGGTAAGTGAGAAAACACGCTACAAATGTGAGTGACAATGTCAAATTGAAGCTCTCGCACCAGTCGCCATTATGGGATCAATTCTGACAGTGCTTACTTCGTCCTACGTTCTTCCCATTCTGTAAAATTTGAAGTGCATTTTCTTCTGAGGCGGCGATAGACTTAACATACCAAGCCTCAAGTTATTTTGTTGAGCCAATATTGGCAAAATATGTAAAACATGCACTGAAATTCGTGACGTCAGGCTCGTCGGTTTCAGCACGAGATTAAAAAAAAAACGACACTTTGTTTCTCTATTCATAAACTTGCAATAGTGAACCAGCAATATTACGGCTCTTATGGGACAGTTCAAAATAAACCATCACTTCTATTTAGTGTCCCTTTGTTTAAAGGCACGTTCAGCTCGTCTCACCGCTATAGCCAGATTGACGTGACCAGCAATGCGCTCCGTGATCCTCTGTAGCTCGGCTTCGTCGTCGACGCCGTTCTCGTCCGAAACTGCCGGCGCGGCCACGCTTCTCTTGGGCGGCGGTCGTGGCGGTGGCTTCGGATCGGACGAAGGACTCCTTCGCGGCGGCACGGCCGGGGGAGGTTGCGCCGCGAACGGAGAGCCATTCGCGGTCGTTCCTTCCGACGAATCACCGCCTCGAAGGGGTCCCTGGATCCGAACGTCGAGACACTTCTCGTGCACTCTATCGAAGAGCTTGTCCTGGTTTCTCCTGTTAGGCTGCGACGACCTGATACTTTCTTCTAAGCTCGCGAACCTCTCGTCCGGAATAATCATCTTCTCCCGCGACCTCGGGCTGTCCCTGGAGCGCGTTTTCTTCTCCAGAGGGCTGTTCCCTTTGTCTTGACCCCTTTCCTGATGTCCACCCCTGGCGTGCAGCGCCAGGTGCACCGGAGTCACTTCCTTTGTGGCCCGAAAGCGCCGTCGCCTGTGATGACTTCGGATCTCCGGCCATGCTGGGTCACGACAGAGGTGACGGGACTGATACCGGCGTTGTTATTGTTGTTGTTATTGTTAAAGGTGCTGTTATTGTTGTTAGCCACTCTCGATTCGAGTAGTTTCTCGGGCGCTCTGTCGAGCAACTTGTCCTGTTGCGCCCTCCGGTCGACGGGCTTGCTCAGCTGAGACACCATGTCGACCACGCTGTCAGACCCAGTTGCGCCTCCTCCTCTGGTGTCCGCCTCCTCCCCTGGGGGTCTGGCAGCCGGAGCAACGGCTAGCGTTACACCTTCAGAGGTGAGTAGCTGCAGGGCGGGTGTGCCCCGGTCCGGTAGCCGCACTTCGCGAAGCTGGGCCTTACGTCCTCCACTCACGGATGGCCTCCTGAAACAGAGATAGAATTACGGGAAATGAGGGTTTGGCACAACGACAATATTACGGCAATTCAGGATAACAAAACTCATAAAATAGAATTGGAGATATATACGGGAAGGCAAACAGCTTAACTCCGACTTTGTTGCGGCAGCACACGTGACAAGGAAGGACTCACAGAAGCATAGGGAAGCTAAAAGTTGAAATGATGCATCTGCACTAGATCATGTCCAGCGCTTTTGTAGCATAACGCAGAAGTATAGCCTCCAGGCATTGTAGTTGAGCTGGGTTGATAAGCTGTAAAGCCGAGTGCGAAAGCACAGCACCGGCTAACGCAATATTTAACTCTACAAACATTTAATTTGCTAAGCGCTGTCGGGTCACACACATTTTCTCATAATGTTTGAGTAAAAAACGAAGGAGAAACTCACGCAAGTCACAGTTCCGGAAAAGCCCGAAGCAATGAATGCGATAGCAATACATCGGACTTATACGAAGTAAGGCTAGGAGATTTAGGAACCATACAAAATGTAGTGAACATAATCGATTACGCTTGAATTAGAGTAATGCAGTGACACCACATTATCTAAACAAGTGTTGTGAATAGTTGACTGCGTGACGTCTGACAGCAGGTGAAGTCCAAGTTCGCCATGGAGAAACGCGACAAGCCACTGGTTTTCACGTCCAAGTACATTAACGTTGAAGTCTCCAGTTACTATCACGGTACAACTTGTAGGCACCACAAGGAAGTTGTGCACGACGTCAGTCCGCAAGACTCCTGGCGAGATTTACACTGTTGCAACGACGAAGCCATGCGATGTTTTCACGTCACAAGCAACATTACAACTCATCTAGGGCAGCGAGTTGAGTTTGTCCGTCTAAAGTTGTGGTGGCGGTGCGCATTTCGTTGGGAACCGAATTCACAGGCACGACAGCACCAGCAACTTCCCTAATAGTCCTGGACTTGGCGAGAGCAATTTTTTTTCTGTTGCTTCAGAGTGAAAGAGGAGTCAGAGACATTTTGAAATGCCCCATTCATGCAACTGCATGTGCTTGAGTGAACCCACCCCTACATTGATCAAGCCATCGGATACGGCAATGCTTAGAGAAAGCATGTACAGCTTGTCCAAACAAAGCAAGTGCTTTGTTCAAGAATGGTTATTTTAAACATTGACAGTAAGCCAGTGGCAAATGGTATATGCACACAGCTCGCCGATAGTGTGACGGACAGTATAGGCGACGTGGCCTAGTTGGTTAATACGGCGCGTAGAAGAGCGAGGGTTCGCTGGATCGAATCGCCGGTGTGTCCATTGGAATGTTTTCCATTTATTTTTCTTTGTGTTTTTATAAACATTTACATAATTATACATATCCGGAACATGACGGCGACGGCGAAAATGAGCCTAGAGTGTTCATACAATTTCTATCGCAATAAAAAACCTGTTTGATTCCTCCGTCATAGGAATCGGTAAAACACGAAAATATGACATGTTCCTTACAGAAGCAGTTTAATGTTTACTGCACATCATTATAAAAGAGCTGGCTCAGTGTCAATTGGCGTTTGACAGTTGTAACACCGCATAACGTGGATGCATTAGTGGCAACGGTTAGTCATACCTCTTCATCCCGACGACTATAAATATCCATCAATAATGATTAAACAAACCTTGTGGTCATATGTGAGTTCGGAACCAGAGAAATCGATGTGACATCCAGAAGAAAAATCTAACCCGGCCACAAGCACTTACATTAAGGCTTTTGCAAACGCGGATGTACCCTACTTTGAAAATGTTACACATCATGTACCCTGACCTATACCCAAGTATTATTTGTCCACATTGTGGGGAAATAGCTTCATTAGAACACATGCTCTGGCAGTGCACCAAATTCGCTCATTTATCGAACATCACCTCTGCCAGATGGGAGGCGGCAATCCGCAGCTCATCCTTGGCAGATCAGCTCTGGGCTGTCCACCAAGCCTGCGAGGCGGCTGAGGAGCTTGGCATCTCAGTCCCCACGTGGGAGCTGCCCGCAACACAGTGATCTGTGTTTTGGAGGACCAAATAAAAGTTTACCCAATCCAATCCAGAAGAACGCTACTGATTGTACAGCGAACTCGGGCTAAGGTCGCCTACTCGAGGCCTGTTGGAGTTGGTGAACGCCATGTCCCCCAACAGAGTGAAACGCATTGCGCGTTGCGTCTTGTCTGATGGCGGCCACGATTTTTCGCGGGTTGAGCGTAAGCGGCGAACGCAGAGCTAGTACATCCAGACGCAGCAGGCGCGTTGCTCTATGCGTTGCAAAGCTATTTCTTGGTATGGATGATTGCTATGAGCGACACCTACGCTTGGGGTAAGCTCGCCACCTGGGGGTCTGTTTGAAGTCGACAAAACTGCACATATACTCTTACTAAAAGTGCACCGATTGAGACGGACGCTTAGGAACGACGAATTGAAAGAACTAATCGTGGATGCTAAGCCCATGATACATTACTGCACTTCACCGAGAACGCTGAGAGGACTGTGGCAGGTGTAAACAGGCGTACTTTTAGGGGCGAAGCTCCTTATGGCGTGGCTTGGGCGTCCCTCGTAGTACGTAACCACCAGTGGCACATACCCGAAATAGGCATAACATTTGACCTCCAAGGTGGTGCCGGTGAGAGATTTTTTCTGTGCGTTGTTTAACAATAAAAAATAGTGCTCAAAGTGCTCAATGTACATGCCAATGGCTGCTAATGGGGAATGAGAGACAGGAGCATTCGGCTTTTAGTTAACGCGCACGCTGTGATCCCTATTAGCAGCCATTGGCATGTACATTGAGCACTACGGTATCGGACAAGAAAGGGTTGCTACATTATACTCGCTGAGTGTAACCTCCTTAGTTTTAGAAAGGTTTAGCGAGCGTTGAGCCGCAGTGCCATGAATACAGTGAACTAGTTTATACCATGAACTCAAGGTGGTTGAAGGTGGGAAGTAGACCCGAAGCGCAAGCCGTAAGAAAGTGTGCGTGTGCCACCTCTCGTTTAGTCCTTGGAATGTCCACTGAATGGTGGTGCTTCTATATGGGGAATATATGATAAAAAGATGCGAGATGGTGTGACTTGGAGTGTTGAATAGATGGACGAATGGACACACAGACAGATGCATGGATGGGCGCATGAACGGACGCAGGGGCGGATGCATGAACGAACGCAGGGACGGGCGCGCGAACAGACGCATGGACGGTCACACAGACGGACGCATGGACGGACGAATACTTCGCCCGACTCTCCATCATTCACTCCGTGGATATGCTGCCATTTTTTTGAAGGGTGCAATATATGTGACCATAGCGCAGTATAATGAAGAAAGAAAAAAAAAGGCCATGGCGCAATGGATAGCGTGCCCGGCTTCTGTTGCCGATGACCCAAAGGTTACGGGTTGGACTCCCGATGGCGACACGTTTTGTCTTTTTAACGTACGTGTTTTTTCGACGTCACTTCCATGACGAAATACGCCACTGAAGTCGTAGTGGACCCCGGCATAAAACACTAACGCGTGAAAAGAAAGGCTTTCGTGATTCGTGCGTTTATTTTTAACGCCTCAGGATAGGTGGTCAGTGTGATTTCCATTGGAAATAGGCACGCAGCCAAGTATACTTCGGCGAAGATAGTGGTCGCCTAACCTAAATGATAGGTAGTCGCGGCTGACAATTAAAGAGAAAGTTGATCTCTAAATTGTAATGACACAACATTAAAACAAACGAAATATCTGGCTTCGCATCTTATTAGACAGAAAAAAAAATCGCATAATTTTTCCCGAAAGCTCCACTTAATGTCTGCAGGAACAGCCGATGAAAAAGCCATAAAGAGTCTTCACTTCTGCTGGCTAATTGCGCAGCTACGTTAATGGATCGCTTTCATAATTAACTGTGCTCCCAATGGACTGTCTGTTATTTTAAATTTATGTTCGCAATAACATCAGACACTTAGTGTTAAAGATCGTTGAAAGCAGAGTAGGAGGGACTATTCTTCATTGTTGATCGGCTGACTTGACCAACCTTTAAAAAAGGCGTAATAAACCAAAACCTTTTGGCACAGCCTGCAGAGCTGATGCAGAAGAATCTTACTCCAATTTATTCCCACGTTCTCCCAAAACTTGTAATCTCCCTTCAGAAAAAAACGCGAGGAAGACTCCCCTTGGTGGCCGTGATTAATGTTTATATATCGCATTACGTGCAAATGTTTTTTGTTTCTTTATTTCCAGAAAAGAAAGCGAAGCCATGATTGTGACACACTACAACTTTCTCGCATAAACAAATGCCACCAAGCTGATGGAAAGAAGACTTAATAAACTTTTTATTTATTAGTCACTAAAGGTAATGCTAGTGGCTCCAAATTGGTGTTTCCATCTCTACGTAAACTTCGGATGTGGTGGTGACAAGCGGCTTACTGTCGCACAATTTTTATAAAAATTACGTATCGTCTAAGAAGAAAATACCCTGCATATCGAAATCATACTCCTCCATATAAATAGCACTTCGCCCTTCTTTTTTTTTTACAGCGAAAATAAGCTGTTATGAGATCACAACTCAGGTCACGCGCAGTTGTCCATCGCTGCCGCCGGTGTCCGTAACCACATCGTGCAACATAAAAAAAAAAAACGAGCACCAATGACACAGTGGGGCTCGACCCCGGGTCCGCTGGGCGCTAGCCTAGTATTCTACCATTGAGTCACGCCGGTTTTTTTTTTTCTTTATTTCCGGTACTTGGGACTCGTTAGCAAACTTGCCTTAGACAGGCTTGATGTCGGGAAAGCAATCACGTTAATACGACTTATAAAGCGTTTTACAGCAGCGAAAGAACATCCACACAACGCGAATAGAATACCGAGTGGGTCGTCCAATGCTCCAACCTATTACAAAAGCTTGTTCTTGTTGATTCATTAACAGTGGCGCGTACCCACTTCAACCATAATTCCCCATAGTCGTGAGCCTCTGCATAAGCGATTGGCAGAACATTCCTTGCAAGTGTT